GTTTGCCTCTTTTTTCTTTTTAAAGTATAAACAAGCTTTAAAAATGAATATTCATTTGGAGGAAAATTCAACAACTCCATTTTAGAGCTGGTACCAAAGTTCACCAAACATAGAATTCGAGGTGTGTGGGGGTGGGGGAGAGTGGGGGTGATGTTCTATTCAGGAAAGACGAACTGGAATTGTGAAAGAGGCTGAAATGATTTGACAAGCTTAGCAAAAATTATAGTGGGAGCACCGTACATCTCCCAATTCCTACCAAATTTGCTATAGCAGGTTTTGCAAATTCATCTGGAGGGTCTAATATTGATAAATTTAATAATATTTTGAGAGAGGGGAAAGATGTCTCTGAGGGTGTGTTGTTGTGTAGGTACACTTTTTAAAATCCCTTCTTCGGTCTGCATTATCAAAGATAAGACTACATCTCTGATTAGGACAGGAGTGCAAAACCTCAGGCTCAAGTGCCAAATTCGGTCCTTTTGGGGCTCCAATCCAGTTCTCCAAGTTTTCCCAGAAGATTCTCCATCCCTGGTGTAGGAGTTGTTCTCCAGGCAGGTGCATATATTAAACTCTGCTACAAATCTTCTTTGAACTAGGGTCTAATGCTATCACAAGAGGGAAACTGAATAGAAGACATACATGGCAGCAAGATCTAAATCCCCCTCTTGATGCACACCTGAATTTGGGGAGGGGGTGTTAGAGTGTTGGAGGAGTCAAGAGCAATGCCTTCAGGGCCAGGCTTTCTCACTAGTCTAGTCTCCTAGCAGGGTCATCCAAGGCAGTATGGTCAAAGCTGAGAGACCAGAAAGAAAAAAGAAATTGTGCCAGAAGATGAGACTCTCAGGTTGGAAAGCACTCAAGTAGCTACTGAGGAATAGCAAAGGACACGTACAAATAGCAAGGTCACTAATGGTGCACCTAGATCAAAGCTGAAAGGAAATATAGTGGCTAATATGCAGAAAAGTCTGATGTTGCACAACAGGTATGACTGGAACATGGAATATGGGAATTGCGAATCAAGGCAAAATGGAAACAGTAAAGCAATAAATGGAACAGTTAAACATTGCAGTGCTTGGCATGAGTGAACAAGAGTAGACTGGAATGGGACATTTTCAGTCAGTGAAAAACAAGATGTTTTATTCTGGAAACAATAAACTCAGAAGAAATGGAGTGGGTCTAATGAGGTAAAATATCACATAGGCAGTAAGGGGATGTCATGCAAACACTGACTGAATTTTATCAATCAGAATTCATGGAAAACCCGTAAACATAACCATTGTTTAAGTCAATACTCCAACAACAGATGCTGAAGAAGAAATTAAAAACTGTTGTAGAACTGACTAAGAGGAAATTGTTCACACCCCAAAACCAGACATGATAATAATCATAGGTGACTGGGACTAGACAGTAGGAAGCAAAGCAGAACCAAATGTTGTAGGAGAATTTGGCCTAGGGTCAGAAATGAAACAGGAAAACAACTCAATGAATTCTGTGAGACCAACCATCAGTTTATCCCAAATACACACTTCAGGCAAACAATCAGATGATCGTGCACATGGAAATCACCAAATGGCCAATGCAGAAGTCAGTAGACTACATAACTGGAAATGATAGAATGAGAAGCTGTACTTTTGTTGCCAAAACAAGACCAGGAGCAGATTCTGGCAGTCACCATTAACTCTTAATAGTTAAAATAAGGTGAAGCTGAAAAAGATCACTAATAGAAGCATCGTGCCAGAATACAAGTTAAATTACATTGCTGAGAATCTCAAGTTGACAGAACAAACAGATTTGCAGTACTGAATTCAACTGACCATGAACCAGAAGAACTGTGGACTGAAACCAGAGGCATTATTGGGGAAGAATGCAGAAGCACATTTACTGTAGCAAAGAAAGAACAGAACAGGGCTAGATGGATGACAGAAGAACACAATTGTTAAAGTCGGACAAGCAGCAAAAGATGACAGAAATAGGGACAGAATCCTGAATGAAACCTTTCAGCAACGATCACATGGAGATTATAAGAATGATTACAATGGCCAGTAAAAAAAAAATAAAACAAAAGAAGATAAACAAGAAACCTCTTCCAGAAGATGCAAGAAATCAGAGGGAAATACAAACCTAGATTAGGGATGCTGAAGACCAACAGGAGACATACTATCTAACCAGGAGAAAATAAAAAGAAGATGGAACCAATATACAGAACTGAAAAGAAGAAATAAACGGGAAATAGATTGCTTTGAAGTGGAATCATAAGAGGAGAAACCTGCACTATTAGAATGTGAAAGGAAAGCTGCTCTGAAAATATTTGGAAGGAACAAAGCATTCAGAGTAGATAGGGTACCAACAGAACTATTCCAAGTTGCAGAAACTGAATCAGTTGAAATCCTAAGATGAACATGCTAACAAATATGGAAAAGAAAACAATGGCCCACAGCATGGAAACATTCACTATACATTCCAGTCCCCAAAAGAGGAGATGCTAAGTACTGCAACAACTACAGAGCCACTGCACTTTCCCCCATGCAAACAAATTAATGCTCAAGGTGTAGCAATGCCTAATCTTACCCTATATAGAATTAGAAATACCTGATGTTCAAGCTGGATTCCAAAATGAAAGAGGCATGCAAAGACAAGAAATATAGTATGTCAGCCACTGGAAATATGTTGGCACAAGTGACATTGTGAAAGATTTTGCATACCCTGGGTCGAGCATCAATTCAAAGAGAGACTGTGGCTAAGAAATCAGAAGTAAAATGAGACTGGGAAGGGCAGCAGTGAAGGAACCGGAAGAGGTCATCAGGTGTAAGAACATTTCACTGGAGACTAAAGTCAAGATCAGCCACATTACTGTATTCCCAAATATGATGTATGGGTATGAAAGCTGGACAGTGAAGAAAGTTAAGTGCATTCAAAACATGGTGCTGGAGGAAAGCTTTGCAAATATCCTAGAGAGGCAGGTCCTTGATCAGATCCAACTTCTCCTGGAAGCAAAAATTATGAAACTTAAGTTATCATACTTTGGGCACATCATAAGAAGTCAATATTCACTAGAGGAAAAACAATACTGCTAGGGAAAATTGAAGGCAGACAAAGAAGAGGAAGACCAGATATGAGATGGACTGATTCCATAAAGGAAGCCGCTGCCTTGAGTTTACAAGAGCTGAACAGGAGGCAGTTGAGGGCATAGTATTTTGAAGGCATACATTGACAGAATCGCTATAAATCAGAGATGATTTAACAGCACAAGAAATGTTCACGATAAAGCCTTTGAATCCTACTCCCCTTCCACTGAAACTCCTTTGCCACACCCCTAGTGAAATAGCATTTTCAGCTGTTCAGTGCTAATCTACTTGCTGAATGATAGAGATTATGTTTGAGCACACAGAGAATTTAATTTCCTCGCTATTTATTTATTTACTTATTATATTTACTTCCCACCTTTTCTCCTGCAAGGAACCCCAGGCAGTTTACATAATCCATCTCCTCTCCTCTGTGGCCTTAAAAATGCCATAGTAACCATCTGGAATTATAAGCTTTGCGTGTTTTCTAGGCAGAGCTTTCTTTTAACTATTCTGAGTGTTTAGTGTCACTCATACTCTCACTCTTTAGACACAGAAGATTTACCAATCAGAGGCTGATGCAAAAGACATTGATTAAGAAGGATTTGAGTCCAGGGCTTTGTTCCAAGTGCCAAAACTGAATGGAGCTCAGTTCTGCATTAAGAACTCCACAACTGCTTGGACCCAGGCCATTCTCATTTCAGCGGGGGGCAGGGGGGTTAATTTTTTGTTGCTTTATAGAGTTAGACCACACTGAGAGCCCACGTGGGTACACTGTGGGCTGAGGCTTGGGAGATCCAGGGTTCTAGTTCCTACACGGCCATAAAGCTCACTGGGAGACTTTGGGCCAGTCGCTGCATCTCAGCATAACCTACCTCACAGGGATGTTGCTGTGAGGATAAAATAGAGAAGAGGAAGACCTTCTAAGCTGCCTTAGGCTCTTTGCCAGGGCAAGAAAGGCGGGATTTAAGTGTAAAGTTACAATTATAACCCCCCCCCCCCGGCTCTACTTCAGATCATCCAGCAATCTGCTAGGCCATCCCGATTTGCACCTGTCTTCTCCCAGGTCAGGTGCTGCGTGTGATAATGTGCCCCCATCACTTCAGCATCCATAATAGTGCGCAATTTATGGCCCTCCAAACGGCTTGGCTTACAACTCCCACCGGTGCTAGCCAATGGTGAAGGATTACGGGAGCCGCAGGGCAAAACAACTGGAGAACCACCAGTTGCCCATCCCTGGTTTGCGTTACCATGCACACGCCTGAGGCGCGCACCAAAGCATGCAAACACGTAACGTGCGAAACGGCCTGTCGTCTTTCGCTCGCTCACGCCCCCCTCCCCGCCGATCTACGTGCAGCGCTCCTCCCTCCTTCGCCTTCCCCAAATCTTCGGCAATCACGCGTCGAGGATCCGGCGCGAAGGAGTTAAGGTGGCTGCCTCTCGCTCTCGGTGCCTCCTCCTCCTCCTCCGGCCTCATCATGTAGGCAAGCGGGCCCCTTCCCCCTTATTTTTGCATGGAGCAGGTTCCTTGACGTCAGATCTATGAATATTGCACGAAGAAGCCGGCTGGCGAGAGCGACGGCGGCTGCTCGCTGCAGGCACGGGCTCTATGCCGGAGGCGACCGCGGTGGCGGCGGGGGCCAGGAGGAGGCTCTGATCGCCGCCGCTTTGGAGCAGGAGGAGAGCCGGCGCCTGCTGGCCGAGAGCGGGAGGGGAGGCCGGGCGGGCGGCGGGCAGCAGCAGCCGGGCTTCCTGCTGCTGCTGCCGCCGCCGCCTGCGCGAGAGGAGGAGGTCCTGGGCTGCGCGCTCCTTCCCCACCGAGAGGGGGCCCCGGGGGGATGTGACATCAGCGCCAGGCACTGGGGCAGCCTGAGAGGAGGGAGGCTGCCCGGGAGCGCCCCCGCCGCGGCCAGCTCGCTGCCTCTCGCGCCGCCGCCCGTGCACCTCATGCCCGCCGCCGCCGCCGCCGCCGCCAGCATGTCTGCGAAGGAGAGGCCGAAGAGCAAAGCGGCCACCAAGGAAAGCGTCACGCTCTTGCCTTGCTTTTATTTCGTGGAGGTGAGTCCGGGCAGGGCAGGGCAGGGCTGGGGCGCGGGGAGGCGAACCGCGCCGGGGGCGACCTCCTCGGCCTCTCCCTCCCTCCCTCCCTGCCGGATTTGCCTGGCGCTGCTAGGCTCCCCTGGTGGAGCGAGCCAAGGGCCAGCCGCGCACGGCGAGTGTGGGTGTGCGTAAGATCCACGCACTGCTGAGCTGCGGTGGCTGTTCCGCTCGGACGTGGATGCCGTCCAGTGGGCCTGGGAATTGGGCATACTGATCTCATCTTTAATCACGTGAGGGGGGGCAGAGGGGAGGAATCTGTTTTTGCTTCTCTTTGGCTCTTGCAGAAGGTTGTTTCCTTGGCGAGCTCAGCAAGCTGCGCTAGGGCAAACACAGCTGCCACGAGCAGTATGAATGGTGATGGTGGCGAAGTTTAAAAAAGTACCTTGGAAAAACAAAGCCTTTCTGCGTGTGTGTGTGGAAGTAATCTTTCCTTAAAAAAAAGAAAGAGAAAAGATTGACAGGAATTTTGCAAATGGAAGAGGCAGCTTCATGAGATCAGATCACGTGCACAGGATCATCCCAATTTTGTATCGAAAAAGGGATTTATGTCGTGTGTGCGCGTGTGCGTGTTGGGCATGTATTTTCAGCAGAGAAAATTTAAATCATGGCATCTTCAGAGAACGGAGGTGGGGAATAAATGGTAGCTGCCTTAATGGCTTGGTAATCAACCCATGTTGGATTATTGTTAGCCTATGTACATCCATGGAACATGTCTGGGTATAAACGTCTGTGCATGGATTGTTGTTGTGCTTTTCATATGTTGCCAAAGCTGTGCTGTATTTTCAGAAAAGCAAAGAGGTTGAGCAAGTGTTTGGTGCTGCTTTTCTCATTAAAAACTAACACTCTTTTACGGCTGCCTAGTTCTTAGTAGCTCCTTACTGCTCCATTCATCTTCACTTCTTCTGGCAGCCCAACATGCAGGCACTTGCATCATGTTTCTTAGCAGCTGAGGGCCAAAAGCAGGATCCCATATGATGGTGAGCAGGGCTCAGGAAAGAAGCAGCACTGGAAGATGTTTCAGCCTGTGTTGCTACAGGGACCGTGCACAAGGCGACACAGAACTAGTTGGACTAAACATGCAATGAGCCTGGCCTATCCCATCATGACTTCCATGGGTGGGTTCTGTGAAGACACATTAGAATGACTCTTTCCATGAACACTCATAGCCATTTCATACCATCTGGCAAGCATCTATGACCATATGGCATATAGCCTAGTTCAAGGAAGGACTGTAATAAGGGGAGGAAGAGGACAAAAGTATTGAAATGAACCTTAGATTGGTGCTTTATTTCACTGTGTTGTTGTTGTTTGGTAAAAGAGCATTCAAACTATGTACACTAAAGCACAGACCTCCTTAGGGAAGACCTCAAGTCCTGCAGGAGGGCAGGCAGAGAAATGTCGTTTTATAATGGTTCTAACTGCGTGATTGTGAGCCACCTAGAGATGCTATGGTGCAATAGGCAGCATACCAATGTTTTACATAAATGAATGAATAAAAGTTTGAATAAAAATGCCCATTCTGGCCAATGCATAGTGAAATCTTCTGCATGTCTACTCTGATATAAGCCACATTGAGCTTACTAGAAATTACTCCCGGGTGTATTAGCAAAGGATGTTTCCCATAAGCATGAAAGGAAGAAAACGGGGGGGGGGGGGGTTGCCGCATGTGGGATTCCAAAAAGTGTAGTAAAATGTTCTAAGCAGGCCCATTTTGTCTCTTCCATGACAAATCCATGTAATGGGAAGAACAGTTCTGCACATTTTGGGCACCATGTGCTTCCAAAATGGAGACCGATAGTCCTGATGCTTCCATCACTGACAGGTGCTCCCAAGAGAGCCCAGATCTAGGGATGCTTGCTTTTGTGAATAATCAGATCCCATTGGCCTTCCTTCAGGAAACAGGGTGGTCTAGCCACTGAACAGAGATCATCAGCCATTGCTGTCTTGGTCTTTAAGCTGAATGGCAGTGTTGGGAGCCATTCTGAGACATTGGGTAGTTTTTCTCACGTACTCAGGTATTTCATATTAGCTGTGCTTTGCTGAGCGTACTTGGTTGCTGATCTCAGAATAGCCTTCAAAAGATGCTACTGAGAGCTGAGCAACACGATCCGAAGAGTCATGGGATGCAAGTCCTGCTTGAGGGCCAGACTAGGTGATACCATGGACAAATGGCAGAGAGAATATGATAGCACTGTACTTCAAGTTTCTGTGCCCCCACAAATGGCAGCAGAGAAACTCTGGGAGAATAGACATCATGCAAAGCGTTTAGGTTCTTTAGACATTACAGGGGCAAGGAGAAAAGATGTGGATTTGTTCTTCTTTTTTTAATCAGTGCGTATATAAAGCCATCTGTACTCCAGGGAAACTGACATGGAATTGCTGTAAGGTGGCTTTTGACAACCATGACTTCATTTTTGCTCAAGGCATAGCTCACAGAATTGTATACCAACAGGAAAGCCAAATATTAAGACTTCGCTACACTGCACAATGAAGGGAATGAAACAGTCTGCTGGCTGTTATTTCACGAAAGCCGGCAGAAGAAAGCAGCCAGCCAGTGGGGGTTGGAGAGTGGGAGGCAAAGAAAAAAAATGCAAATGCACATGTGGTTTAGCTTGGCACATTGCACAAAGCTGACAGTGAATGAGAGAACATAAGGGAAGTCAATCTTAGTCAATGCATGTTTTATTAACTTTTACATACCACTTTCTTTGCTAAAAAAATGTAAAAGTCAATAATGTACTTGTATGCAAGGAAGAGAACATTCTTTTCTGGGCCTTTCAACAGTGCAATGCTCTTGAGTTATTTTGGGAAGTAAACTTTTCCCTTTATCTGGGATTCTCTTGGTTGGATTTTCCTAGTTTGGATAACTCTAGACATTTACAGCTCTTGGCAGTGCCGGTTCTAGCTTTTGGGGAGCCTTTGGGCAAGAAACCCTGAAAAAACCCATTTTTTCGGTGAGTTTTCCTTCTTATGGGTATTGGCATGCCAATATCTATTGCCCCTCATCCATTTTCTCATAATTGCTACCCATGCTTGCTTGCCAAGCAGACAGCCAGTGAAAGTTGGAAGTAACATCAACAGTACCCTCTTCTCACTGCCACAATTAGCTGGGGGAGAGCAAGAAGCAGATGAAGAATCAGGTTGCAAAGGTGAGGAAGAGGAGCATATCCAGGAAGCTTTGTCAGTCAGTGGGCTGCTGCTGGGGCATGTGCCTTGGTAGGTGCCTGACCATACTCAAGGGAAACTGGTGTCAGTGGCAGTACTTATGCATTGCAGGATCTTTATTTGGATCATTATAGGAACAATCCATGGTGCTCCATGGTAATGAATCTCTTTTGGGGATGGTGTTCAGCACCAGGGACAGCTACTGTGAAGCTCAGAATAAAAGCTGTAATGGCTAAGGAGTCCCATGGACATGGGGCTCACCAGCCTCCCCCTTGACCATACTGTTTTGCACAGCAGCCCTGACTCTGGGTGAAAAAAAACTGACCAAATAACTAATAATTTGCTGTTCTTTTATGACACCTGAAATCTTCTGCCTGAGGCAATTGTCTCAGGGTAGGGCTGGCCCACAATTCTGGTAGATGGAGCTTCTCAAGGACCCATGGAAAGAAACAAGTCAGCAGACTTGTTCTGAATATGCAGAATTATTTAAACCAAGAGATTCCTAATTCCTACCTAAATATTATATCAAACATAACATGTTTGAACATCGAATAAGGCTTTGTAGATTTGTCAAGGCAAACAAAGAGCTGCTAGGCAGAGGTAAGAGCATAACAAGGTAGCTAAACGTAACACCATTGCAAGCACAGAGAAAGGAAGAGAATGTTATTTTGTGCATGTGCTGGGACTCTTTCATGGGCAGAACCTTCAGTGATGCGATGCCATGAAGTGGCACAGCTCACACAGGATGGTGTTGACATTCTCTGGGAGAACAAGACTTTTATCCTGTAAGGTAAACAGGAAATTAGACTTCCTACCGTAAAGGTTAGAGAATCATAGATCATTCTTGGAAAATCAAATTGAACTGATCCGCCCCCCTGTCAAGAATGGGTCACAGGTTGGCAAGGTCTTTGTCAGAAATATCTGGGGATTTCAAAAAGGAAAAATGGTGTGGGCTAGAACAGCAAGGAGCTATGATGATGGAGCTGGTCGTAGCTGGGGAAGGGTTAAAACTGGGCAACCAAAGCATCTGAGAGGCTGCTTTCTCCCACAGGGACCACCCTGATCTCTACATGCTGGGTGGGAGGGTTTCTGAACCTCACTAGAACCCACTGATGTTCATTTGGCCATGGTATAGAAGAAGGCCTTCCCCGTTATGGCACCTACCATGTGGAATAATTTGCCCTCTGAGATCACATGGGGTCCAAACATGGGGCATTTCCAGCAATGACTGAATTATTTAAATTGCTGCTGACTGCCCAGAGAGCTTCAGCTATTGGGCGGTATAGAAAGGAAATGAATGAATGATTTGAAGGCATGCTTTCTTACTGAGACATTGCCATCACTGGTAGTATTGCCAGCTATACCTGGTTATTTTAATGAAATTTTATTGGTTTTGTCATTTTTTATTGTTTTGAGGATGGATTTCATGTAATTTATCATGGTTTTAGCTCATAAACCACTTTGGGTGATTTTTAAAATGAAAAGCGGTATGTACATTCTCTGGAATTAAGTCAATATATCAAAATGAGTTTGGGACAGTCATAGCTTAAACTCTCAAGAGTCCTGGTTGTGATTAGAGGAATGCCCAAAAAGTTTCTCAGGACAACTTTTTTCCAGTTGGAATGAGGCCTTCAGAGAGGAGAAGTCATTCATGAATTCCTGCCCCAGAAGCTTTTGTGGACTTTTTGGCAGTGGTAGCGATCATGGTCCCCGATGTTGCTAGCTGCCGTGCCAGCTGTGTCTGGTAGCCAATGAAATTGGTTACCTTTCTGCCCTGGTGTCTTTTGCATTTA